AGAGCGCTTGAAAAGTCAGTTTTGCCTCCTTGTGCTGTACCTCATCCATTTTCATCGTACCATTCCCGTCATTGTCTACCGACGCCCTTTAAACCAAAAAAGACAAATCGCGTACACAAAGTCAAAGGCCATCTAAACACAAAAAGTGAGAAACCCCGCAACATTGAATGTGCTCTCCCTTTTTTAAAACCGAAAATCAATCACGTGCAAACGCTACTGGAGAACAGAGACCAAAAAAATTGAAGACTATTTTTCTTTCTTTAAAATATGGGGATTGTCGTAGCAGCTAAGGTAGTAATGCTTAGCCAGTAGAGAGGAGAGAGAAATTAAAAGAATAATTTCTATATTATCGACAATGATTTCTATAATTTCCCTGGTAGTTTCAATAAGGTTCATCCATAGCAAAATTAATGGCCTCTAGAATCGCACGATTCTCATTAATTTTTATAGCTAATCATTATTTCCAGTAATAGGGATGGGCCTGATGTTTTTTTTTAAGTAATTTCGTGGAGAAGATGGGCCCTATCTTTTTTTTTCAAATAGTTTAGGAGTTAGCTTTCTTTGCAGTGCTCATGTTTATTTTTATGAAGAGTCTCAGGTTTTTTTTAATAGACTTGGTGTCCATTAATTGATATGAACATACCTGTTTTTTTATAGATAAATTATATATGATACTAATAGAATTAAATCATAGATACCTAAATGATACACAGACTTACCATAAAATACAGGAAACAATATCCTACCTTTCTCATATTTATTGATTACAATATACACCTTCTATATTCACCGGATATACAATATATATTTTTCTTTCACAATTTTAAGTCTTTTTTTTTTTAAGTGTTAATAAACAAAGCAACCGTCATTTTTTTTGAAGTGTCGAAATGCCAAAAGCGTGAAGGAGCCGCCCAAAGACGGCTAGAATATCCACCACGACAGTCAATAGTTGATGTAAAGGGGAGGCTAATTATATACCATAACTACTCTATCATTTTTTCTTTTTCTTTTTTTTTAATACGAATGAACTCGGGAGAGTAACTCAGACTCACTCAAAAAAATTCGCCTCAGCCAAGGTCCCAGTACTTTAGCGGAGTTTTGCTTCAGAACATTGGGAGGGTGAAAGCTGCAAATGTAGATTTACTCATCTCATTAAATTCTATATTAAATCTTTTACTTATACAATTGTATATAGTGAGACCATTTACCTTTTATACCAGGAGATCACAATTACTTGTAACCACTCGATGTGAAATCTGATAGCTTGGATGTGTCACAAAATTCGAGAAAATTTCTTTTGAACTTTGTGCGTGGTGAATGCAATAAATGTAGCGACTCAATTTCATATCTAATGGTCAAGATTAATTGTGACCACCTTATACCAAAGATAATTAGTTTCATTGTATACTTTTTCTTTACTTATTTAGTATATTAAATATCTGGATAGTTATCTACCAGTGTACTAAACACCAACGAATGAGTGGGGTGCCCATTGTGCTCTATGGATCCCAATTTTAGTCCCATCAACTCCTTCTAGTCTAGCATTTATTTGGAGGGTTCCATAAAGAATAATAGTCGGGAGCCAAGTCGGAATTTTTTTTTTTAACATTGTTATCTAATCAAGCCCTGATTAAAATAAAAAAGGTGTAAACCAAAATTTAAAACCTTGTTATCTGATCAATCCCTTATCAAAATTAAAATAACGGTGATATCCTAATATAATTATGTGAAAGTATAGAATGTGACCATTTACCTTTTGTAGAAGATGGTCACATTAATCTTGACCATTAGATGTGAAATTGGATGGTTATAATTATTCCATTGACCAAGCTCAAACTTCAAAAGATATTTTCTTGAACTTTGCAATACATCCAAGCTATCAAATTTCACATCGGATGGTCGTGAGTAATTGTGACCACCTTGTATCAAGATAAATGGTCTCATTGTATACAATCCCTATAATTATATAACACTACATGGATAATATCCCATTAACAACAATTGTCACTTGGGCACTATCATAAGTCTTCATATTTTCACATAGTCAGTCGGGCCCTCAGGATACTTCTAGCCCAAGCCTTAGTTTTTTAGGGCCAGGCCAGGCTTACTAGAAAAACTACCTAGCCAGTGTTGTGGCCAAGCTATCTATGCTTCCCCTACAACATAAAACTTATATACTTATGCTTATCCAACCGTCCATTCTGAATGGAGGGCTAAGATTGCCTGAATCACAATGTCACGTTTTTATATTATTTTATTTTTAATTTGTTTCTATAGACTATTTTGACACCAAATTTTGGATATCCAATCCTCTATTAAACTTGCACTAGCAAAAAATATTAAAAAAATATTTCCAATAAAATAAAATAACCAAAATATCACTGAAAGTTTTAAAGGGTATTTTGGTTATTATTTTTATTGAAAAATTATTTTAAATATTTTTATAGGTGCACCCCAATGAGAAGATGGCATATGCCAAATTGCATATTCATACAATTTGTATAAAAAAAACTAAAAATAAAATACTTTAAAGCATTGAATCTAAGATCAAATGGTGAGTAACTCTCTAGATCAATTTGGACGGTTGGATGATATGGGAAGCATAGATCTTCTATGCAGTAGGGAAAGTATAGAAACCTTTCCCCAGTGCTGTTCCCATATATTTGCGTTTCCACTATTATATTGGAAGTCCGATTCTTACGAGTATCTCAAAAGTCGGCATACTTTATATTACTTTTACATTGCAACACACATGAGAATACTTCAAAAAGGAAGCCATACTTTTCCTTCTTAGGTTACGTATTCCTCTCTCAAACTCATTGACCCAAAAAAGTGGATAGAATTTTCCTTTTTCTAATGGGCTGAATATCTTACCCTTTCCTCTTCTTGTATGGTATATGCCAAACAAACAAACAGGATGGTGATTATGCACCAAAGTTAGTTATTTTGGGGCCCATGAAAAAGTCCACAGGAGAAAGAGCATACCACTATGTTTATGTATATAAGTACGGTACGACATTAGTTTGTTAGTCTACTTTGGCCCCATAAAAACCACCAAACACGGAATAAGACCAAAAGAGATGGAAAAATTAAAAAGAAAACCACCAAACACGGAGGGATTGTATATGAATCCAAGCTAACCTACACCAAAAAGAAAAAGAGGAGATTATATATAATGCCAAAATATATTCTATTCTTTAGGGAGTAGAATGCTCGTTTACTCCCTCGAGTAAAATCCCGACTAGAATTAATTTTAGGACTCCAAAATTTGGGGATGTAACCTCTTCAACCTATGGATTAACCCCAGTGAAAGAAATTATCTAATTGTACGCTCTATGCACTTGAAAGAAATAGTGTCTTGAGATTGAATAGAGACCATCGAATATTTAGATGGTACGATCTAAGTGTTAGAAAACTCAAGTTTGAAATTTTATTTGTGAGAATAACCATCCATTAATTCTTAAGTAGAGACTATCGAATTTTTAGATGGTGCAATCTAAAGGTTAGAGAACTCAAGTATAAGTGGTTTGCAAAAATTAAAGTTGAAAAATCCCCCAACTAAGTCTTCTTACCGTGAGAGTAGAAGTAAACTATACTCCCGAAAGAGGGAGAATAGCTTAGGTGCTCACAGGTCATTATACCACCCTGTCAAACCCTACATTTTAGAAGGTTATTAATGATAGCGAGCCACCAGGAAGGTCACTTGTGACTTTGTCAATATTGTTACTAATTTTCATCTCCATGTTATCGAGCTTTACTCTTACTATTCTAACGTTTCATGGTTAATTATAGCATTCTAAACTCATAATTCCATTACCGTGCACACGTCCCTAACGTTATTGTGTGGTCTTCACCACTCTAAACTTGTGGCTTTCTAAACTTCCACTTTTCTCTTATATTTCAAGCTAAATACTAGTTTTTGGATGGTTTGGCATTGAAATTCAAACTTTGAAAGTGGTATTTTAAAAAGTAAAGGTTGAGAAAATGACTAATATGAGGAATGAGCATTTTCGGTAATTACAAATACAAATATATATATTTTTTAAAAAAAATAAGGTGATCACACCTCACATCCACCGTTCATATTCTTCTAAAGACCATTAGTGACAACTTTTTCTCCAAAGTTTATTTGTTAGGAGTATTAAGGATGGAACTCAAGATGTCATATCATCACATCTACCACCTGATCTTTTATGCCTTGTAACGACTAGTAGAAGCATGAATGATCAAAGCACTCTAAGAGTACACAAAAACCGTACTCTTGCGGAGTACAGTATCTAGGCCACTTAATATATGCACTAAATGGGGTGTCAAATTTGGAGACCCAAAGTTAATATATCTTTGTAACAATTTGCCTTTTAGAATTCATGTCCAAAGTGCTTTCAAATTTGCCAATAATTTAGACCTTAACATTTAACCAATTATAAACTTCAAATTTTGTAATAAAAGTGTGAAAACATTGGTCTAAATTTCATACTCTCAAATCCTCATCTCCAAAGCATTTTTGACGACGAAAATCTTCATAATGAATCTAAACTCAATTTTCAGCACAGACAATAAATTTTGAAAATTAAAAAATGGCACAATTCTTATTGATCTATAAACATATATTTTTAAAGTGAAATAAACGGCGTACATAATTTATTACACTATACACTTATTTTTTTTTTTCTACAAACATGATGTTCAAGTTGAGATGGTAAAAGTATTTCTAATTGTAAGTTTTAAAGGCTTTAGTTATTTTGATAGGCTTCAAACCATTTTCCATATTTTTAATAGCATTGATTACTAGTTTTTGGATCTGATATTCGAGCAGAGGCCTTGATATGAAAAGGACTATTCTGCCCTCACTGTAAACGGTTATAGTTGAGGACGTGGCGGTAATATGGGAAGTAGGAAGTAGCAGTAGTGCTAGGGTGAAAGTGGTAAAAAGACAGGGGCAATTTCTTTAAATAGAAAATGTCATTGGAAATTGCAAGACGTGCAGGTTCTGTCGCGTAGACCACGACCCTTGAACGAAGCAGCAAATATTTCATCGTTCAAACGTCGTGGGCGTTCAACCCACTCTCCTCCCGACTTCACTTTGTCTCTAACCACCCTACCTCACTTTCTCTCTCTAACGAACCTGCCTTGTTTTCTCTCTCCTCTCGATACTCTATCTCTATTGCTTCGATAACTGGTTATGATGAAATGTAGAGAGAGAGAGAGAGAGAGGGGTGAGATGAGATGAGATGAGATGAGTTCTCGCTCTAGGTCTTCAATGGATGGCGACCAAAGAGAGAAGTTACGAAATCGGCTGCGCACTTTCTCTCTCCTCAAAATCTGCATGTTCAGATTCCCCTGCCCACGAGGTCTGCATCCCTGCACTCCTCTTTTCTATTTCAGGCACTATCATATCATTTATCTTTTGCCTCTTTCACGAGCATTGTTCATGTCCTAGAGAGAAACACAGTAGAGAGAGAAAGAGGAGATGGGCTGCAGTGCTTCCAAGGTAGATGATTTGCAGGTGGTGACGCTTTGTAGAGAGAGAAAGGAGTTGGTTAGATCCGCTGTTGATCATAGATACGCCATGGCCGCTGCTCACTTGTCTTATATTGGGTCTCTTACGAGCATGGGGGCGGCTCTCCATCGCTTTGCTGATCAGGAAACGTTTTCTCTCTCTTCCCCTCCCTCTTCTCCCCTTCTCACTCTACCCTCAGAGGGTAAGAGAAAGAGTGATTCTCAACCCAACAACTCCTCGTCCACCTCCATTTCTCACTCTGCGAATTCCCCCCATCCTTCTCACCTTCATCTCTCCTCCTCCCCTTCTGAATCCGAAGTTGAGAAACCGACCCCCAAAACCCACGACTCCCCTCCCTCTCCTTCCAAAACGAGCCAACATGGTTCTCTGGCTTCGAGCCCTGTGTACAACTACAGTAGTTCTCCGGTTTGGAGCCCTGTGTACAACTACATGAGGTCTGGTACTGCTATCCCCTCCATTGTATTTGATGAAAGGGCTCGATCGCCTGATCAGGTTCGATGGGGCGATCCTTCCTCTGGTTATTCGAATGCGAGCTTCTTTGGGGCCCCTGAAATTGAAAGGGTTCCTTCACCGCCATCACCTCCAAGGACTTCAGCTTGGGACTTTTTTAATCCTTTCCAATCATCTTCAGATGACCTGTACCCCTACTATTCTCAAAGAGGTGGCTTTGGGGTCGGTTCAGAGAGCAGCTTGGATTCAAAGGAAGTGAGAGAAAAAGAGGGGATTCCTGATTTGGAAGATGAAGCTGAGCAGTCCTCTTATGAGAGAGAAACACGAGATCCAGACGAGAAGTTTGAGGACGCAGAAGATAGGGAGTTGGGTTGGGATGATTCAGAGGCAGCAACAGCGAAGAGCCAGAGCCATATGGTTGACAAACCTGAACTGGGAGAGGGGGAAAGAGGCAGCAGCAAAAGTCGGCATGGAAGCAAGGAAGTGGAGAATTCGATGGACGAGGTGGTTTCGACTGAGCATGGGGAGGTTTCACAAAAGAATAGTGTGGCCACATTGTCGGTCGGGGCCAAACGAGATATGGAGGAGGTTGTGAAAGAGATCAAAGTTCAGTTTGAGAGTGCATCTGATTCTGGTAAGGAGGTCTCTATGTTGCTCGAGGCTGGCAAGCAGCGTTATCTCCCTAGAAGTACCATACTTAAAGGTATAGTGCTGTTGATTCTTGGAAGATTTCAAATAGTATTATTTTTGTCATTGTGGTATTACTTTAAAAGTTAATTACCTTGGTACTGATTGTTGAATAATTGTTTTAGTACAATTGGACTTCTCCTCTTTTCCCTTTTTTGGTCATTGATCGATTTTAGTGACTCGAGAAATGAGTTCTTGGCTCTGGAATCTGAATAATTGGACAACATTTTGTGAGAATGTTGGTCATTCAGAAGTGATCCTCACTATATTTGCTTATGGTCTTCTATAATTGGTACTCGTCCTTATTGTAGTTGTAGAGTTCACTCTTATAGTTGCTTATGTTTTGCCACTATGTTTTGTTATTAGTGAGACTGTAGTTTATATTATCAAAAGACAATGCAGTTCATTCTGAGTAAACTATGGTTTTTTTTTTTTGGATTCATTGAGGGATATGTGCGGACCACCAAGTATTTTGTGCTCCTTGTTTTTTCCCAATCCATCATTCTTGAAATTCCCAAACTCAAACCTCAAGAATCGCTGAAACCATATTGATATGAACTTCATTCCATTCACTTTTTATATTGGAACTTACATTGCTTGATTCAGTTATTTCTGCCAGGATTTTGAATGCTGCATTTTTTCCCATGTTGCCATCTTCCCGTCCTCCTTCTAAACGTTCAACATTTGTATATTCAAGAGCAAAGAAAATGGATAACATGATCCATGGAGATTTAAGGGAAGAGTTTGGAATGATATCTATTAACTTGTCATTCACATTGGAAAAGCTATATGCATGGGAAAAGAAGCTCTATGAGGAAGTTAAGGTATGTGTCTGGAATTTGGATGATTGACTTGATTCAGATGCTATTTGAGTTGTCAGGATTTTTGCATTGTTAATTTCTCTTCAGGTTTGTTCTTATACTGTGATTGTGGGGAACCAGATGTGCGTCATGGGTTTTTATAATGTTTCTGGAAAATGATTGAATTAAATTTTATTTTCGGACTTTTTGTGGACCCATTGTAACATGAAATATTGGTGTGAAAGAAATTTGTTTATTTGAAGAAACAATAACTGCCAAATATCAAAGAAAACAAAGAAAAAAAGAGAGGCAATTATATTTGCAAAACATCTCTTCTTTTCTCTTATGTAATACATGGACAGTCTCTTTTGGGGCAATTACAGCTGCAGACTTGAACCTCTTCTCCAAGGAACCCTAATATATATATTTTATTCCATCTTCTCCTCCTTGTTTTCATTAGTTCTTCATTGAGCATATCATGTTTACTCTTGCATCTGTTGCTCAGCCTTTTATGTCTCATTTTCTATCAGCTTTATTGGGGCTGTCTAGGTTGGAGATACCATCTACTTGCTAGACCTAGTTTGACATTTCTTCTAACATTAGTCCTTGTATTATATCCTTGCGGAAAGGCAATTGAGGTTATGGAAACTAGGAGTTCAGGAACATATGCTCCTTATGGATACTCTTTTGTAGTATTTTTCTCACTAGAAACTAATGCAATAAGCTTCTGAAGGACATAAATTTTCACCTGGATGTCTATTTGAGAGATTCAAAGCTTAAATTGAAGATTTTTCCAAGATCTACGACCCTTATGTCAATGGTTTATTTTGTGATTCAGTCATTTTGGGCTTCAAATTAAAATTGATAGCCTATTGGAAAAAAAACAATGGCGAATTTTATTTCCTAAGTGCATAAGGTTTCCTTCTTTCCAACACTGAGTCCTAGTAAACTTAAGGAAGCCTTGGCAATCTTCTAGAAAAATTAGTCTTTTATAATATTGTGGACTCCATAGATTAGAAAGTTTTGTAAATTTCAGTAAGTTGTTTCTTTCCTTGTTTTGCAAATTAAGTTAATTTCCTAATTTTGTGGGCTTTTTTTTTCTTCTCTTTTAGAATGTGCTTCCTAGTTTTGTTTTAGAGTTTAAAAAATTGTTTCCATGTTTTATGTCTAGTTTCCTAAAACTAGAAAGAGTCATTTAATTTTGGAAGAATCTAGAAGTTTAGGAAGTCTGGGAAAGTGGAGTTAGATTGAGTCTCTTGTCATGGAAAACTGTAATAGTAAGATTGATTTGACCTCTATAAATACCCATTTAGGCCATCACTGAATCAATTCAAGCAAGACATAATGCTTCAGACGGCCACATTAAAGTGGTGGTGCCCATGGGCTCACTGCATGTGTCCCCTATGTGGGCTAGCATGATGCACTCACATAGGTGGCACATCACCCCCATATGGGGGCCCATCACGCAATGTGATGCACCTGCATATGGTAGAGCTTGCTCATGGGTGGAATAATGCCCACGAGCAAGGGTAATTTGTTAATTTTCCCCTGGGAAAGTGGGGGAAGAATTTCAAGAGTTATGTAACGCATTCAAAGTCCCTTAAAACCAGAAATTATGCTTCTAAGGGGATTAAAATGAAGAAATTAAGAAGCATTTTCTCTTTGTTGATTTTGAAGATTTCAATTTAATTTGTGGATTCTTTGGGCAAAAGTTCAAGTTGATTTTGTTCATGTGGTAAAATAGGAGGAGATGCATATAAATAATGTATGCGAGTTATTTGATTGAGTATAGTTATCTTTTTCATTTTCTATGTCTCGATCTTTTGATATTTGGATGTTATATATTAGTAAAGAACTTTTAAACTTGGCAATTGGCATTTTTGGTTCTAGCTATATGCTATAGTGTACTTAGTTGCTTTATCCTATTTTATATCTTAAGTGCTTGGTTGGTAGTTTGGCATAATACATATTATAATTTTTTGTTAATTTAACAAATGTGGTGAATTACTTTATTTGACATGTTAATTGCATTAGAGAATAGATACATCTGTTACTCTTTATCTAGCTACTAGCAGTTTAGACAATGGATATTTTAAAGACAAATATTAAATTAAAATGCCTAATATTACATAAAACACATATTCGCTATAGTCTTTTTATTTTTGTATTTTTGTGATTTTTTAAAATTACTAACTGTGTTGGAAGTGAATGTGCCTGCATCAAGACTACATCAAGGTGCATAATGCATCTGACTTCCTAAGCGCATCGAATCTGCACCTTGCATTTGATAACCTTGGTTCAATAGTGTGAGTGGTCGCTTTTAAAGGAGACATTCCTCACCTCTTTTTGTAGAGATAGTGATTTTACAATGAAATTCTACGATCGGTGAGTCTTCTCCTAGGTTTTAGAGCCCCCCTTTTTTTTTTTGGGTAAGATACACTCCAAAATCCTAACTTGTGGTTTGTAGATTCTCTCCATGTGAGCTTGGCCCCCTCTTTTTTTTTATGACACTTCCTCATTCAAGATTTCTTCAGCCCAAATTCGTGAGGAGAGGGATATGAGAGACATGTGAGGGAGAAGAGAGTGATGTGAGGTTCTCAACACACCCCTCAGACACTTCTTAAACCACTTACATATTATTAAAAAATATGAAAGGGCAAAACTGCCCATACAAAATATGAAAGGACACTTAGGTCCTAGAACTTAGTTAGAAGGACTTTTAACATCCTATATCAATTTTGGCATTAGATCAACTCACTACTTGGGTGTTTGCTTTGTTTTTTGTCATGTCAACCCAAATGGGTCGTACATATGGATCTCGCTCACCTAGAATCATCATGAGTTTTTTTGGTAGTTCAGCTTTACTTGCAATTACATTATCAAATTAACAACATTGAGTAATTTTCAATGTATTGGTTGGAGAAAGAGCTGCTACAAATCGGCCCATAACCAATCCCAGTTGAAAAGGAAGCCAGAGATGAGCTTCAAAAGAACACATTGTTGACTCTTCTTTTCCCACCAATGGTATGAGCATGGTTACTCAGATCACTCATTCTAGGTGGTGCTGCTCCTGTGTCCCATTCCAGTGCTTTGCGACTCTAATTGATCTCAATTTTTTAAGTTTTGGAACTCGATCCCCACTATTAAGGATTAAGATCCTAACCTTTTTATGATTACAATGTTTAGTTTCTACAAAAACTAAATAGTGTAGTCTTAAAATAGTTGTTTAATTTATAATTGTTGGAAATGCTTGTGATTTCAGTAATTGTTTCAAGAATCGATATCACGTAATCACGGTTGGCCAGATGATTCCATAGTCGGAATCACCTCCGTACAATGCTTATCACATGAAGCGGTTTTCCTACGATTTGGGAATTGTGCTTTGATCCAACAGGAATCAAGATTCCTCCCTTGTTGGAATTATGGTCACATCAACTTGGAATCGAGATTCCAAACTTAAGGGAACCACACACCAAGTTACTTGGAACCTGGCCTAGAATAAAGAAATGAGTTCCAAAAGGCAAAAGATTTAAGGTTTTAGATTATCTTTAAGCAAGGATTCCTTGATATTGGACTCCATATTTTGAGTATGCTTAACCAGTGTTCCTCCACTGTTGGAATCGATGTCTCTGACAGCCCTCTCCTAACATTGGAGTCGATGTATTGAATGCATACACAACTTTCCACAAGTATTGAAAACAAGTTCGAGTACCCTTAACTAAGTACTTTTCTAGAGTTTTTTATTCAAACAAGTTCGAGTACCCTTAAGTAAGTACTTTTCTAGACTTTTTTTTTCAAACAAGTTCGAGTACCCTTAACTAAGTACTTTTCTAGAGTTTTTAGATAGAATAAAAAAAAAAAATTACTTCATCTGTTGTTGTAACTTTAAAAATTTACAAATTTTTGAAACTTAGGAAAGTTGTAGACTAGAGTTTGTTGCCACCCATAGATTTTCTTGATTTCCTTCAGATATTTATTATTTTTAAATTTTAAATAACAAAATTTTTAATGTTTAAAATACTCCAAGCATTCCATAGAATCCCAACAAGCTTTTTATAAAGACCGAATTTTGCCTCAACACCTGCAAATTCCTCAGAGTTGACTTCTTTTTTTGTTTTTTTTTTTTTGCGGGGGGGGGGTGGGGGGAATGATTCAACAAGCTTACGATGTATCTTTTCACTTGTGTACCTGTTTGCGGTGATTCAAAGCATAAACTGAAGATTCCTTCAAGATCTACCACACTTATCTCTATGGGATTTTTGCAATTCTGATGTTTTGGACCTCAAAATGTGGTTGAAAGCCTGCTGGAAAAATTAATGATGAAATTTATTTTCCTTAAGAGTGTTAGGTTTTGTTCTTTCCATTATTGTATCCTAGAAACCCTAAGCAACCAATGTTATCTTCTATAGAGATAAACTCTTTGGAAGATTGTGGCTTCACAAATTAGAAACTTGAATCTTTAAAATTTCACTTAGTTGTTTCTTTCCTTCTTTTGCAAGTTAAGTCGCTTTTCTATTTTTATATAAGATTCTAAAAAGATATTTTTCATGTTTTGTAAGAATTCAGTTTCCTAAAACTACAAAGGAAAATAGGAAATAGTTATCTAATTTAACCTACAAGATTAGTACATTAAGGAAAGTAGAATAACTTGAGTCCCAAGCTAAGTCAACTAAAAGAGGGATTCAGACCTCTGTAAATACCCATATAGGATTTAATTTGAATAATAGAACTTGGGTTTCAATTGTGGCAAGGTCCATCCTTTAGAAGAGAGATTTCCCAACGTCTTTTTTCTTTCGTTTTTTTCGGGTAGCGAGAGTGATTCTACTGCTCTAACCTTGGCTTAGGAGAATCTCTCCCTAAAGGTTATATAAGGGCCTTGTCTTCTTTTGGTGGAGAGATTCCCCAAAGCCCTAGCATGTGATTTGGAAGTTCTCTATATGCAAATTTGGGCCCCTTCTTTCTCTCTTTCATGGCATTTTCCCATTCAAGATTATCTCAACTAAATTCAACCCTTATTTCTAGCC